TATCGTCTTATATGAAACAGGGAAAATGGTTATAATACATTCTATACGGAAAATCTTACTAGAGTTCAAGCAAGTTATTTTTTAATGTTTTGTGCATTTTGAATTTAGAGTAATATAATAATCATTAATTGAGCATAAATAGCTTAGATGACAATGATTTTTTTAACACATTTTAGTCAAATCAATAGATTTTACAGCTTTCAAATTAGTATTCTAAATTTAAAATGACTGAGAATTCACTACGATAAAATTCTGATATACACTGAGTGGCCAAATTATTATGACCACACCGTCAGTCGTCTGCTTCCATACCCTATACGGCGCAATGTGCGTCAAACAGTACGTTCAGAGACGTTCACAGTTGCTCCTTGATTAAGATCACTTGCAATTTGTCGCACTGTTGCTCTCCTGTTGCGCTGCACAACCCTGGTCAGCCTTCCCTCTGATCGAGCATTCAGTACCCTGTGACGACCACAAGTCTGACGTTGAGATCCGGTTTTTTGCTCGATTGTCCATTNCACAACCTGTGACGTAGGCTATAGTATACCCAATTGAGCATAAATAGCTTAGATGACAATGATTTTTTTAACACATTTTAGCCAAATCAATAGATTTTACAGCTTTCAAATTAGTATTCTAAATTTAAAATGACTGAGAATTCACTACGATAATATTCTGATATATATTAAAGCAAAGTTTAAAATTTACCAGTACAATAATTAAAGTGAACTTTCATTTCATCATATCTTTTGAAAATGAAATTGTTGCAATCCTCACATTGGTAATAATATTCTGAAGAGATATAAGTGTCCAGCGTAGATTTAAAAATAGCTGTCTAAGCTTTGAAGAAAAATAAACTTCACTTATAGAACACCGGATTTTTTCAACTATTAAGTTTGATTAGTATATTTAAAATCAAGACTTTTTTAACTATTCAAAAACAAAATCGGTTTAAATCTTTTAGTGAAAATAGTTAATTCTCATTTTTCTAAAGCACCCAAATTTGTTTTCATTCCAAAACAACTGCACCGATTAAACTATTTTGTGACATTACGAACAATGAATTTGGCAACGGATTTAAACTTTGAGTGAGGCCCCTCAAGGCCTATAGAATACAAACAGACCCCAAATAAAATTGTTTTGTTCTGAAATAGATTGTGTCTTCGCTTTTATTTTACGTTTAATTTTTTTTTCTGGAGATAATGTCACTTAATATTTTGAATTAAGATGAATTATAACAACATTTAGTTAACAGCTGTATTTCTGAAGAAGACGCTGTTTTACTTTTTGATAAGTAAATATACTTTGTTGTTTTTATTTTTATAATACTTTTATTTAGAATGTGCTTTATACACTTTCCATTCAAATTAGCTATTTTTCAGCGTTTTGAAATAAAATACTATTCATTAAAATTATTTGTCAAAAAAAATTTCTTGAAATTGAAAGTACTAAATGTGGATGATTATGGAATCTTAAAAAAAAATCTGATTTCATCTTAGAATCTTTATTAAAGCATGTGGTGATATTATATTATAACTGTAAAAAGGTTTAGAATTTTTCAAGATCTCATATTAAAGTTTTAACATTTTATTTCAATATAATAAATTTATATCCGAGTTTCAGTTTTTTTTTCATGTATAATTTTGGTACAAAACATTTGTGGATAATTAATTTCATATCACTCTATACTTCTTTTATAAAAGACATTTACGAAATATTCTATTGTTCATACAGTCTATAATTGCTGCTATTTAAATTGCTTTCTATTAATAAAGTTGACTGTTTTTAATTCATAAAAGTTCACATTTGCAATATCCATTCATTCAAATCTGTATCTTCAGATGTTCTGCGCATTTTATTATAAATATATCATTAAAAAAGTGGAAATATTATATTTAAAAAAAATTAAATAGTATTTTGAATTTTTCTGTTCTTGTCCTGTTTTTAGCTTTTGTTTAATTGGAATTCAGAATTAATACTATTTTCGTATTTCCTGAAGTATTTATCACATTATTCAAACTATTTTTCTTTTGTTGCTAGCATAAAATTTCTTACCATTTTTTTTTCAAGCTCAATTTTCGAGGCAAAACTGAAAATGCAGAATTAATATTTAATTAAAAGTACAATGCTAATTAAAGTATTTGAAAATGCAAATAAATTAGAATTTTACAATAGTTATAGATTAATAGTAAAAAAATAGGAGCAAAATTAAAAGTAATATTTATTATGAGATATAGTTCAATTTGAATTTATATACCTATATCCCAGCTGAAAATAAACTGTAGTTATTCTACAGAACTGAAGTAATTTCGTAGTTTTTCTAGAGTTAACTGCAAATTTTCTGTAGTGCAATCTTAACTGTAAAAACACTGCAGTTATTTTGCAGCTAATGCGAAGTAATTTCTCAGTAATTTATTTCGAAAAAATTT